ATCCTAGATTGTGCAAGTCAATCTAATTCTGTTACTCACAAGTTTGCGAGTTCATCAGAACTAATTTGCTTCCCCCTTACATCTTTTATTTGTGGCATTGAACAAACTACCTCCCAATCAAATTACGGAGCTTTCTGCATACTGAAAACCTCTTGAAGAAACAATTCCCACTCTCACTTTATTTTGTGATATTCCCAAAAATCCGCTCATATATAGCCTATATTCTATCAGATGAACTACCCAATTCCTAACATTCGGAACTAATTGATCCGTTTTTAGGTGCAGAGATTCACGGATGAATTCTCAAGGGTAATTCACCTTCTAGTTCGGTTCCTACACCTGAAACGATCGGTTTGTTTTGCGAGTGCGCGTCAGAAACAGTGGTCAGCTCACGAATAGGTACGATGAGTGAATACTTGGAAAACTTATACTGTTCAACATTCATTCCGTATTCGATTGATTTTTTGAAATGGGGGATAAATCGGGCAGGAAAGACCCGCCTGACAAAAATAATTCAACAATAATTAATAAATTGGCTGATGATAATGAGAATAATCAACCAGAAGTTAACATATCCAAATACGATTTCAGTGAAAGATATCAATACACAGATAGTGGACCTTTCTTTGTGATGATGGAAGATGAAGAACAACATGTTGGTGAATAATTTCTGATAAGAATAGGACACTCTTTACTCGATGATCCATTGTTTCTAAATATAATCATAGACATCAAATCAGTAGGCCTCAACCGGTTGGAAGTTATCTGTAACAATTACCAACCGGTGAATAGTTTGGTCAATCATCGGATTCTAACAAAAAATAATCTAGTCGGTTTCGTACCGAAATACTACACGCATAAAAAAGTATCATCAAATTGATGGACACTATTTTCTCAGATGACTACATATTAGAAGGAATAGATTTAGATGTTCAAGTTACGGAAGTCAAACGTAGGAAACGTGAAATCGTAGATAATTCTACTGACATAACCCGTCGCTAGTATCAATATTTTGAACACGGAGGTCCCAACTAATAGTAATAATAATAATAATAACTTTATTTTCAATTCAATATCAGTAGATACATGTGTAAATAACAGCATCAAATAAATTAATTTTTTTGAATTGATGAAAAAATATAGCCTACTTTTTCTTTTTAATTGTTTTCTCATACACATCTTATTTTTGAATGATGAAAATCGGTACAGATATGTGCAAAGTGATCCTCAATAATAATGTGTCATCAATTCTTCTCAAAATTACCACAATACTACATTTTCTGATCACCTATTAAAAAAAAACATAATTCGTTTTTTCAGACACCCTGTGTTTTATGATGATGAAAATCAGTAAAGGTGTTTTTCAAGTGATTGTGATTCAGAATCCATCATTGATTTTTTTGAAAAAAAAAATCACTAATAGTACTTTCCCAAATATGGGTCAATAAAGTTGGTCGCAGTTGGCCACGATTACAGTTCATGAGTGAAATTACTCTCTTGTTGGATGGACATTTCGAATACCTACCAACAAAAAAAAAGTTTTTTGAAATCGGTCAGATAATAACAATTTTACAGGGGTGGTAAGTCCTTAAGGTGGACACACTGTATATAAAAAAAATGATAATATAATCTCGATATGATTAATATGTTGGGTATACAAAATATATATTCGAATCTAGAATACTAACGAGTACTACAAGGAAGATGAAATGTTGATGAAAGTAATATGGAAATAAGTAATAAAAATCACAGAAGCATTACGCTTGAGTGTGATTTAATCTTGTTTATTTCTCAATATAGGTTATAGGTATTTTTCCTATCAATCATCTGGTGTATCTGAAGTCTTGGGATTGTATTCAGCCATTCATCAATTTTAATTTTCAGTTGGTTTTTAATTGATGTTCACTTTGATATTTTGAAGCAGTTCGTTATATATCTCACAACTAATGTAATTCAGACTTCTTTGTCCAATGGTTTTCCTGCATCTGGGAATAGTGACAAATTGGTTTCCATTTCGAATATTATAGGGGTGGAGGGTTGTATTTTCTCTATGATTATTATTGCTTCTCAACATACGAATTGAAATGGTACGTGCAAAAATTTGTCGTGAGTCGAATATTTTCATTTCTTCATATAGTTTCTCAGTGGAGTAGGTGAAGCTCTTTTTAGACATTATTTTCAAGATCCATTTCTGGGTTATTTCTGATTTCTTTAGGTAAATATTATTAACCCCTCCCCAAGCTGCAATACCATATGAAATATGTGATTGCACGAGCGCATAATACAACATTTTCAAATATGTGAGTTCGAATAGTTCTGAACATAATTTGAATTTGCCGATTACAGATCTGATTTTTTTAACAACGAAGTCAATATAATAATTCCACCGTAAATGTCTATCAATATATAATCCCAAGAATTTTATTTTCTCCTCTGAATTTATAGTGACTAGTTGATTGTTATTGATATGGAAATCTAGGGTATTGTATTCTGGGAGAGAATCTGAATAACAACTAAAGGGGAGGAATGAAGTTTTTTTTTAAATTTATGGTCAAAAGCTTGTAACTGAAATAATTAGCTATGAGTGGAAAATCTTTTTCGACATTTTTTCTCAATTCAGACCAACTAGAGCTTTTGTAATATACTGCTGTGTCATCGGCAAATCCGATTAGCTTTCCTGCACTGGGTAATTTGAATAAGTCATTTATATAAATGTTGAACAAGACGGGTCCGAGAACGGTTCCTTGTGGGACCCCAAATTCAATTACTCTCTCGGAACTCAGTATGTTGTCTATTTTGACACACTGGGTTCGTTCAGACAAGTTACTTGTCATCACTCTCAAGGCCATGCCTCTAATACCCACATTCTCAAGACATTCCGAGAGTTTGGTATGACTTACGGTATCGAATGCTTTTGCTAAATCTACAAAGATGCAAAGAGATTTTTGACCTTCATCTAGGGATTTGTAAATTTCATTTGTCAAATCAACCATCGCATCTTCTGTAGACTTGCCTTCCTTGAACCCGTATTGTCTGCTAGCCAATATATCATATTTTTCAAAAAAATTCATCAATCGCTTTTTTAATACTTTCTCAAATATTTTCGCTATAGTACTTAAAAGTGGGATCGGTCTATAGTTGGATGGGTCCTGTTTGTTTCCAGTTTTATAAATTGGTAAGATAATTGCAGCTTTCAAGCATGATGGAAAAATGCCACTAGTTATCATTAAATTAACCAAGTACGCCAATGGTTTTGCAATGAGCTCTCTAAGTAGGTGGATGGTTTCCGATTTTATATTATCCAACCCAGGTGACTCACTTCTCTTTAGTTCTAGTATGATTTGTTGAATTTCATGTTCATTCATTTCTTCTAAATATATTGAATTGCATATTCGTGTTGCATCGTGCTGGAAATTCGGGTCGACTGTAATTTTTTCTGCAAGTGATTTCCCGATATTACTATGAAAATCTACAATTGTTTCAGCTATCTCTCTCGGATTAGTAGTAGACGAATTATCAGATTTTATAATCTCTTTAATGATGTCTTGCGATTTATTGGTTTTATGAATGTTCTTAATGTTTTTCCACAAATTTGAGGGATTTGATTTATTCTGTTCAATTTTCGATTTGAGATAATTGATTTCACAAATTTTTATAAGTGAATTCAGAGAATTTCGGTAGCGTTTGAATTCAACACATTTTGCCATATTATTAGGGTCATTTCTCATTTTTCTACCTAGTTCGTTTTTATGATTTATTGATTTCACTAAACCATCTGTTATCCATTCCTTCCGTTTAATTTCATTACGCTTCAATTTTTTGTTGTGAGTTGATAGTTCAATATTTTTCTTCACGGTTTCAATAAAATATGCCGTTGCTCTATTAGGGTTCCTCATTTTGTAGATACTCTCCCATGTTTCACATGCGAACAAATTTCTCAGCTTCACTTCATCAACAATGCTCCTAAATTTCAATTTTTCAGTTTCGTTCTCTTTTGTTCGTGTGATATTTTTTATTTGCGAAATTATGGAGGAATGATCAGTTAAGCTATTTTGTAAGATTATTGAACAAAATTTCTCTTGCTCTAAGGTAGTTTTTATAAATATGTGATCTAGGCATGATTTACTGTTGTTGAAATTTCTTGTACATTAATTCACATAAGAGATGAAACCAAATTCGCTCATGATATTCAGATATTCCTCATTTTCAACGCTCTGCCCCAGAATATCAATGTTTATATCTCCCATAAAGATATCAAAATCAGCTTTGCTACAGGTTTCTGATTGAAAATGAATATATAAATTTCTGTTAAATTCAAATGGACAAGTCGACGGAGGTCTATAATAATATGTTGCTCTTATTCTGATGGTCTTTGATTTCAGTTTAATATCTACCTCTAATAGTTTGATTTCATTGAATTTCACGATATTGCAATTGTATTGTAAATTTCGCTTCAAATATATTATCAAGCCATCATTCTGGTTGAATTTACTTTCATTATATAACAAATCATAATTTACTAATTGCAGTAATGTTACATCTTCAATAGTTCTGGTGTCGCTTAGTACGATTGCATCAAAGTTGGCGTCTAGTTCAGATATGGTTATTTTGAGTTCATCCAAATTAGTTTCGAGGTTTCTAATATTGACATGGAAGATATTGACATTTTCCCCATGATTGAGCAGATTGTTGCATTCCAAAATACTATTTGCAATTTGTGTATCAATTACATTTGTCTTAAAGTCTCTTATGAAATTATCCATGGAATATCTATATTATTATATTATTGTATATGTAAAACAAAAACAAATCACAGAGTCAATCAATCTTTCATAAGAGTTAACTTGTTCAGAAAGTCGATTGAGTCTGATGATATTGTTTCAAATAAGAACTTCATGAACTATTTTTGTGATGAAGTTTATTTCTACTGAAGTCGTCCTTTGGAGTACGGGTTTGGCTTTTTTTTTTCCCGGGTGGACGAGTTTTTCGAGTAGCACCTTCTAACCGGCTCTTTCCACTTTCTCTTCCGGTTCAGACCGTACCTTGGTTATTAAACGTTGAGTAGGCGTAGATGGTTCGCTTAAAACTCTTCTTGCTTCTTCTTCTTCCTCTATTTCTTTCAGTTCTTCTATGGTATACACGTTGTCGTCCAGATGAAGTTTATTTTTTCTTATGTAGCAGCTCGTGAATTTTCCGCTTTTCTTCTCTTGATTGAGATATTTCCTCAGTATCCTTTGTTCTTCTCTTTCATTGGGAGTGAGATCGTTTGATATAGCAATATTGGATCCCCTCAGTTTTCCGCAGTTACTCAAAATATTATTCTTTTTTTAAAATGATATCAATTCTACCTTGACTGGGCTTTTATTTGATTTGCCAAGGGAGTAAAGATCGTTAATATCGTTTTCAACCAGATGTACATCTATAAGACGGTTCAGCTCCTCACAAACTACTTGCGCAGTTATTTCTACAACAGGTTTGTTCAATCCGAAAATCACGATATTATTTTTTCTGTTTTTAACATCCAACATCCAATTGCTGAGTTTTTGTCTGATGTCCGTATTTTCCTCCCTCAATTGCTTGATTATGTTATTTTGATCGGCAATTTCCAGACGTAATCTTGTCTCAGTAGCTTCGATGGTATTTTTCAGCTCATTTTTGCTTTCCCTTATTTCATCGATAATTTGTTGTAACGTAATTTCAGTCATTTTTCAGCATCTGCTCCTTAATAAAGCAATAAATAACAATATAGTAATTGAATATCAATACTATAGTGTATGGTTTCCTTTACTCGGTTTGATAGCTCTTATCGGTAGTGGGTGTAGTAGAAGAACTGCTGAGTTTTTTTTTAAGACACACTTTTCCGCGATTTTTAGTGTTATTTTGAGAGAATATCAATTTGTTGTATCTGATCGGAATATTTGTTCTAGATTTTCTCACCTCAAAATGCTGGATGAGTTAGAAGTACTTTTTCAGTTCGATCACCGATTTTTCACAACAGTATATATTCGATTATCACATCAATTCACAGAGCTATCTTTTACCAGTGCTTGTTTACTAAAGCGAACCACACACACACAATAGTAACTGAAGACTTAAAAACTCGCCTCTATTACCAGCTGCCGTTTCATAAAACAACGAATATATTCAATTCATTGTGACAACAAATGATTTACCTGTATTTATAAACAAGTACGATTTCATATTTCCTGAGCCCACAGTCCAATTTCCCAATGGTAACGAAATAGCCTCCTTTATCGAAGCTCTATTGAAAACGGTAATCAACAATTACGAAAATGAAAGAATTATTTACATAGACGGAACCGAAAAACGGAAAGGAGTCGGTAGTGCTTTCTTTGTCGCAAGTAAAAATGTAACACACGAATTTCAAAGATATGCAGCATTTTCACAGCTGAAGCCACCGCTATTCGAAAATCTTCAGAATGGTGTGCGGAGAATAACATAACTGGTGTCATAATTATTATATCAGATTCTCTATCAAAAACATCACCACCAAAGGGTTTGAGAACTCTATCATCTGTAAAATGAATAACTCAATTTATCAATTTGAACTGAAGAACATCCAAGTCTCTTTCATATGGACGAAAGGGCATAGTGGTATTCACGGAAATGAGATAGTGGATGCAGCTGGAAAAAATGCTACCTCATGCAATAACTTCCTCAACATTCCATGTTATGAAGATCTCTCACCAATTATGAAAAAATATTAATATTGATTGGGGCAATAACTGGAGAGAAATACCAAAGAATTTGAATAGCTTATATTTCACAATACATGAAGAACTACCTAATGAAATGAATTTCATTCACGATCACGAAGCAAATGACAAGTACTGCACTATCATGACTTGATCATAAACAAATCATGGATGTTTTCCATATCATTCGAATAAAATAGGGGTGATAGATTCTTCCTTATGTAACCTAGATAATGAAATTGCGGATCTAAATCATATACTTTTTAGCTGCAGCAAATTCCATAGACATGATCTCTTTGAAGATATTGTTAAGGTCGGGGATCAGCTACCGACATCAGTAAACTCATTGCTCACTACAGGGGAAAAGGAAATTTTCGATCTATTGATCAAATTCATAACAAAAAACAATATCGAAATATAAACAAAAAATTCAAATTGTGTGTGGGTGATCAATTGAAACCCATAAAACAAAGTCAGGAATAATAATATTTATCTGAAATTTCGATAAGAAAATATCGTGTTTTTGCTTCTCGTCTATTCTCCTGTCAATTACTGTTTAACAAAAATGTAGGAAAAATCAATTCACATGATACCAGTTGGAAGTTGACAGTTATCAGCCAGGTCGAAATTAAAAATTCATTCGAACGATTTTGTTTCATGTTTTTTATTGAAACGGTCAAAGTGTGCCGTGTGAATTTAGGAGCAGTTCTCATAGCATTATGTCTGATCTTTCTGAATCTGGTGGAATTTTTCGAGATAAGTGGTCACATAGTGAACTTTTTTGACATAACAATGGAACATGAAATTTTCCCAAGTCCGGACCTGGATATTTTTTTTTCATGATATGTTATCTTGAATAGTTTCAGTAGAGATACGTCGCTGCCAAATTTCAGCAGATTACGATGAATAATTTCTGTAATATCTGCCATCAAAGTTATATAACAATTTCACATAAGCAGGGTATTATCTTCTTTATGGAGGGTCAAAAAATGTTTTCATATATATACATCAATTCGTCTTGATTTCCCCATTCAACCATTTGGCTATGTGAGTCTTCTCATGAAACACCCTGTATACCCCACAGCCTGTGGAGAGTAGTCAATTCAGCGTGGCGTCGGAGACAGCAGAGTCGTGATTAGAATGAGTAAATATTCGAGTCTTTGGAGGTTTATATGTATCTCCGATTTCTATTTCATTAAATGAAACTGTATGCCAAATTTTTTATGACAATTTCTTCATATGTCGAACAACTAAACAACTAAACTTCTGAACAAACGTTTTCATGTTTTGCCCAAGTAGGAGTGCTTGATATAGTTTTCACATATATAGCAGGTGATCGCTACAGTACTTGATGAAAGAACAAAACTACAAGGTCATGCACACTCCTTAGCTTTAGGTCCATAATTATGATGATACCAGCAAACATTGTCCTTTGGATCTCTGGCAACAGCTCGAAAACCGCTTCGTGATCGGCTTCTGCTATGAGAACGATATATAGGATTTCCTCTTCCGACAGAAAGAGCAGCATTTTGTCTAGAAAGTTTTGCAACTTGTTTTGCTACTTCACTAAATACTTATGATTTGGAATCACTGACACTAGCTACGGTATGAGGAGATATTTCCGTAATCTTATCAGCTAGTTGAGCAACTGCATCCAGGGTTGATGTTTCCTGAGTAGCTGAGATTACCCTTACTTGGTTGGGGAGCCTGTTTAGCCATAATGTGCGAAGGAACTTATCAGGAACTTTATTTCCGGCTAGACTACGGAGATGACGAAGAAATTGAGACGGCCTTCGATCTCCTATTTCTTCGTGTTCTAGAAGCCGTTGAGTTTTCTGTTCTTGTGATATGGATAACCGTTTGATCAGTTCTTGCTTCACTTTTTCATATCGATCGTTATTTGGTGGGTTGGTGATAATATCCTCTACCTCAGCTGCATAACGACTTTCAAGCTGTAAAATCACGTAGGCAAACTTAGTTTCGTTGTCTGACGATGCCACTAAGGTAAAATTGTCCTTCAAGTTGTGAAATCCATAACGCTGGTTTTCCTGGTCAGGAAGGTGGAGCACGCATCGACACTCGTGCAACCGTTTTGGCGGGAATATTTTTATCTGGCATATCACAAGATCACGTCGGGGTCACCACTTTGGAGGTTTATATGTATTTCCGATTTCTATTTTATTAAAGGAAACTGTATGCCAAATATTTTATGACAATTTCTTTATATTATTATGTCAAACAACTGAACAACTAAACTTCTAAACAAACTTCTTCATGTTTTTCCCAAGTAGGAGTGCTTGATTCAGTTTTCACATATATAGCAGGTGATCGCTACAGAGTTTTTCATGAAAATTATAATGATAATGAAAATCCGGAATCACAGGAGCCTACTCAGAATTAAGGCCCTGTAGCGCCAATACCTTGCGACACCAAGTTCTTGCAAGGATGAATTCATCGCTTCGAGGAACCCTTCCGAAAGGGGCTGACATCTCATGGTTTGGTCCTCTCATCCAGAGAGAACTATCCAAATGGTCTCACTGGCTCAGAGCGCCGAGCGGCGTATACAGGAAATGGAAGCTGTCCGCAGGCTCTATACAGATCATCCTGTGTAATTGGTCGTCCTGATTATCAGCTTCCTATGTGGCACACGACATACGCTGCTCTCAAAAATTCAGAAAATTTCAGCATGTCGTGATGAGGCAAAAATTCCAGCTTATGGAATGCAGAAGGCCGCCATACTCGGATCGTTGCGTCTACTCAGGGCACATGGCAAATGGAGAAGGAGAAATGGACCAAATATCAAGATCTTCTATTCGAACTCTGAAAAACTCCATATCTAGGGCTATAAGGCGTTTTTTATTACCTAAAGGGTAAAACACTTCTGAAGGTTGTACTCAATTCCACTCTCTTGAATATTTATGCGTTCTGCCTTTGCTTTCTATTTGACATCTATTCAGATCGTCTCTTCAATTCGGATGGAATCCGAGATGAATGCTCAAAATGATTCACGACTTGTGATGAAATTTCATTTAACGAAAACATCACTCTATCCTCGGCATCTCTCAATCATTGACGAGAGAAGCAAGAATAACCGAAAGCTAATGAAATGTGTTGATAAAACTCAGTGGCATGAATTTTTTAGCTCGAAATATTATTTTTCTCATGCCGTCGAAGTTCTACCACGAAAAACTGACTCACTCTATGTAAACATATCTCATGAATGCTCCTTATACATGACTCATCATCAATCACATGTGACGATTCAACTATGCTAAGAGTTATGATAAGCAATGAGTCAATCAATAATTGCACTTTGAACATCTCGTTTCCAGAATGAATATTGATATCCTCCAGGTCTATCCATGACGATGAACATTGTTGTTGAATTTATAATTATTGTCTAACGCTTGTCAAAATTGCCTCAGTCGTCCTCCGGCATCCTGCATCCCGCTTTTCAATTTGTGAATAAGTAACACTTCACACACTTGTTACAGAAATTAATATTTGCTAATCGTCAGTTCCGAACCAGATGAATGAAATGAAATTCGATTTGATGAAACACATTTCTGATTTATATTCGGTAATGAGGAGTTTGACACTGATGT